AGTTATCATGTCTTTTCAGCCTGACACCCTGCTTTCATTGGAGCCGGAACAATTGCAGACCTTTCAACCTTCCTCCAGAGGCAGTATTTTTTAACTATTTCATTGTTTTCATTCCTCTCCTCTGGATTCTCTCCAGTTCATCCATGACCTTATTGAAGTCTGAACCCCAGCTGGATGTGGTGTTACTGCTGAGAAGGTCTATTGCATGGAGTGGAAGTACCAATACTCTTGTCTTCCGTGCTGGTTTTGTCTTTATAGCAGAAACCCTGAAGTAATCTACCATAAACAACTTCTCTTCTAAAGAATTGCAACCAAATCCATTCCTTATACAGTTGATAACTGAAATATCTTTGTCCTGTTGTATACATTAATTTTAATTCCACCTCCAGTACATTCACAGTACCTCTCCATTTAGATGTCAACTGCAGCTGCAGCAAGCACCCCTGAGGCCACTGTTGAAAATACTCTGTAGTACTGGTTGCTGGATAAACGTGTATCATGATATCTCTCATTTTATTTCCACAGTTTTCACAGGTGAATGTGCAAAATCTACAATATTCTGAAGATGCGAGACAGAAAATTTGGGCAGGCTTTTATGAAGGCAGTAAAACCGCAGATCTTTAACAAGAGGACACTGCGTTAGCAGGATCTGAAGCCTTGGTACAAACTGGATTGACAATACTGTTTCCAAAAGGTCTTAGGATTTCGATTATTTTTTTTTTTTTAACAAGGCTAATTCTTCATCATTTAGCTGAATTATAATAAGAATTAGCCTGAGTCATAAAGACATGTGACAGATGACAACCTACATGGTTAAAACTTGGCAAAGTTGTAAGCAACAGACAAGAGGTTTTACAGTGGGGAAGGCAGTTCAGCTCTGTCGGCAGCCACTCAACCCAGCTCTATCACATGTGTGCCAACAGATACCCACAGACACTATGGATTCACATGGGTTTCTATCCCCATTTTTCTATTCTTGGCCAAAATGTTCACTGTGATTATAGCTTTTTGGGTTTTTTTCTCCATGCTAGAGAGTTTCAAACATGGGTTTATTAAAGGCCACAGGGAAAGACAGCATGTTACTTTGAAGAAAATCAACTTTCTTTGAAGAGCAACATGAAAGGCAGTATCTTGTATGGTTCAGTTTCCTTTAGCCCTTTCTGTCACACTTTCTCCCCATTTCAACTTAACAATAAACATAATCTCTTCCATGCAGCATCCTCCTACAGAGTATCAACACAAGTCACCAGACTGAGCTGCTTGATGAAGCTGCCCCAGTCTGACTGCTGACTTTCAAAGCATGCCAAGTAACGAAAAAGACGTTCAAGCAGGTCAGCAAAGGTGCACAGCATTTTATGCACCCAAACACTGAAGTCCAAGGAAAGCTTTTACTTATTTGGATCATTTTCATATTTTTTTAAGGCAATAAAAGTGAAGAAAATAAATTTTGCAGATGTGTTATTATTAAAATCATAAGTTTAACCTTTTCAAAGCATCATTGGGATGTGCAGTTTTGACTTACCTGATTTGACTATATGTGTTGGTTCTCACAAATGAAGGTAGTTAACAGAGAAGTCAGTTACCCTTACTTCAATACATCATTCAGTCCAATAAACTAAAATCAGCTGAATATGACAGTATTTTCTTAAATGGGCTTGTTGGAGGCTGTAATTTAACATACAGCATGCATATATGAAAGAGAAACAGAGCTAATAAAAGCAACCAACAGAGCAGCTTAAAGATTCATTGATGTAGTTCATACTTTTATAGTAGCATCTGAATCATCTTCACTTAATGTATGGAGCAACCGCCACATAAGCCACTTCCCCAGGATACCATGCAGCAAGATCTGTACATTTTTCTTCCCACCAAACATAGCTAACAAACCCCTGTGATTCAGCCCATGTGACACACTGGCTATTGAATAGTATTAATTGTTACAAGTTACTTTCATTTCTTTTTGTAAGACTGCATCAATAGAAGTATAAATGCTGAATGTAAAGTAAGGTTAAATCCTATAGGCTTCTGACAAAGTATATTTTAGTTCTTAAACAAAGAAATCATGTGATATGGAATGTGAAGGATCAAAAGGAGTGAAGTGATAGAAAACAATAAACACAATATCTACACAACAACTTGTTGTTTCCTCAAGACAGGACTCTCAGTGTCTCCATGGAAGCAAACACACATTTTAGTCATCATTAATTGATTTAAATAATAGATTAAAAAAAAAAAAAGGAATTTGGCCTTTCCAGTGGAAGCACTAATGTAACTAAAGAGAACACTGTGACTTCAGGTTGCCTCCTGTCACATTATTCAAAACAAATGAATCCTATTCTAACGTGCACTTGATTGATAAAACTTTATTAAATCTTGTTCAAATACACGGGATCAATGACAACATATAGGTGTTTAGAGCATCTCAGCACTTACATCTGCTGATGGAAGCTATTATGCAACTACATTGCCCTGAGTCTGTTGACTCTAAGGAAATCGACTGTACTTTTCTAACATGCCAGTAGTAGGCTTATCCACATTTGCTGTAACTCTCTTGTTTGGGCCTTTATGGATAAAGGCTGTGCATTGATTTTGTGCAGGGAAAGAAAAGAAAAAATTCCTCCTAACAACCCTAGTCAGCAATTTTCAAATATGAATAATTCAGAATACAAAATAATATGTCTTTTTCTCCTCTTGGCTTGTGAGGAAACGAGTCAAACCAGCTATTTAAGCTTACACTGCCTCTATAAAAATTCTCTTTATGTTCAATTTCATTGCAAAACAACCACCAAATACATTCATACTCATAAGCTCATCACCACATTTCAGTCAACACTTATTATGCCATGTATTTCTTATTTAAAAACAGCTTACCTGACATATCTACAGTAGGAATATATTGAAATAACCCTAAGCTACATTATTCATTCATATATATATCAATTTTCAGTGACTGAGATACGTGGTAAAACAGTATTTGGAGTGATGACGAGGCAAAGCAGAAGAAACCATGGAAGTTATTCTTATTGCTGTAATCAGACATGTGAAACTAAAAAAGCTGGTTGTCAGTACACAATTAAAATAAAATATTACTGCCAATATAACAGTCCCTTTTAAAAGTAAATATATTTTGATTAAGTTTTTCAGAAACTGGAAGTTAAACAAAAAGGGTATTACCTAATGTATTACCAGTTCACCACTGCCACTACCTGCATAACCTCACAACAGACCAAAACAAGACCTATGAAGAACAAACTCAGGAAAAAAAAAGAAAGAAGAAACTCAACATCTCAGCACAGAACACAGCAAGATGTTCAGACTTTACACCAACTGTGCTTGCCACCGAAATGTGTTTGCAAATTGTTTGCACTTTTAAAAATCCCATTATATAGCATATAGGGAAAAATAACCATTGTTCATAAGCAATTCTCTCTAAAATGCAGGATTGCCCACGTGGATGTTTGAAAAGGATCCCTAATTTTTTAACAGGATGCTCTGAGATAGATTTTCCTATTGGAGGAATAAGACCCAATAACCACCCGCAGCAGTCTCTTTGCAAGTGCCATATTTATGAATAAAGATCTCAAGGTAATTCTTGTAGTTATCATTAAACCAGGACATAAATAAATATACAAAACACTTTCCTATGAAGCCTGGATACACTTCACAGTGTTACATTCAAGCTCGTCGTTGCAAAGAAATATTCAAAACTAAACGCAGCCTCTAATGCGATAAATTGGTAGCAGCCAGGGAAGAGCTGGAGTTGTCAATTTGGCAAGTTCCTGACCTGGATTCAAACCACAGAATGCAAGTTGTATGCAGAACTGCTAGCTACTGCCTGCATTAAAACATATCAATGCCTTTGTTAAAGAAACTCACAATAACATCTTTGGCCAATGATTAGTGTTTTGATATAGTTGAAAGACCTAATTGTCTATGCAAAGTGCAATTAGAACTGCTTCAGCACTGGGAATTTCTTGAACATGCACTGCCAAATGTGAAATAAAAGTCAGTTCTGACTCTAATTTATTATCTTTAATATGTTAAATACAGGACCTGCTATGTTACTGCTGTCAGGTAGCTTAAATAGCTCGGGCTCTAAGGAAAGAGATCTTGTACAATTGCTGTACACCTATTTAGGTAAGTACAGAAAATCCATTTAGGAATACAATAAACTATATTATCTACATATCTATTAGTGACAGAGTATCTGTTATTAGGCCTTGTGGCTACAAATGACTCTTCCCTTCCTCAATGCCCCCATCCCCCAGCAGCAGATCACTTTCAGTGCCATTATTGTCAGGCATATTAAATTTTCAGGACACACAGTTGTGGTTTCCAGGTCTCTCTTTACCCCTTGATCTGTGTTTTTGACCGGGCGTTTTTACACTTAAGATGACAGAGCAGAGGCACAATAACGTTTTACGTACTACAACTACAAAGAAGCAGATTTGTCATTGATTCATGGCAACACCCGCAAAATTAATTGAAAAAAACCCCAAACCTTCATTCATCAAAATTCTCTTAATGACACGGAAAAGATTCGTGTTAGACACAGTTCTGTCTCTAGATCAGACATTTTCTAACCGAACACATTGTGCCAGACAACAATTTCCCACGCAAAACGATATTACCTCTGGCTTACCTGCTCCGGTTCTTAAGGAAAGGGTGAGAAAGAGGCGATGTACCGCTGCCTTTCAGCCGTGAAAAGCAGCAGATTTCCTAGCTCATCGCAAAGGGGTGCTGCCTTACGGGAGCTTAAACAAAGCAACGCTGCTCTGGAGCGGCATCGTGTGAAACCAAGACATCTTTCTGACAGCTCCTGCTTTCCAGCAAAGCTGAAAGAACACAGGACGCCCTGGGGAAACGCTAACAAAGGGAAAAAGGGGAAGAACGGGAAAGAACCAGCCCAGCCGTTGAACTCCCGAGCACCAGTAAGGCAGCACCTTCAGAAGGTCTCCCGCACGCCCGCTCACACCCCTCCCCGAACAAAGGCAGCTCACCGCGGCAGGTAGCAGCTCCCGGGGGTTGCCGGCTGCCCGCCCGCCCCGCCGCGGCCGCTGTGGCCCGGCGGAACGCCACATGTAGCGATGGATGTGCTCGCAAAGCGGCGGCACATCGGCAGGGCCCCGCACCGCGCCGCCGGCCAGCGCCCGGCGAAGCGCTGCCGCCGCACGGGCGGAGAGGCGGGAGGGGGCGTGCGGAGCTCCGCGGGAGCGGCGGGCTGGCTCCTTCCACTGCCAGCACCGCAGCCACCTCTGCCCGCGGCGGGGCGGGGCACGGGCTCAGGGCCCTACCTGCGCTCCGTCTCCCCGCTGCCAGAAGGGACGAGCCGGCTGCTGCTGCTTCTGCTGGCGGTGTCGGTGCCGCCGCCCAGCCCGTCGGATGCCGCCCCCACGGCGGCCGCCCCATGGCACTGCCGCTGTCGCTCACGGGCGCCCCGCAGCGCCGCGACCCAGCCCCAGCCTCTTCCCGAGTCCCTCCACTCTCGACCCAGCGGTGGTGGGCTCCTTTTGTTGGGAGCGAAGGGGTAAAGCTGGATTTATCCGGATTCACGGGGATCCCGCTGGTCTTGGCACCGTTTAGCGCCTTCGCTGCCCACCGCGCTGTTCGGGCAGAGGAGACCCGCAGCTCTGGATGCACCCGGGCTCCGAACCCGACTTTGTTCTCATCTCACTGCAAGACCAATGCCTGAATTCAGCACCTGGCTAGCCCTATAATCAGGAAAACACTTACCCCCTTCATTTACTAAATTACGGAACTACAAGGAACAAAACAAACTGTTCCCCAACAGCCTCCCATCTTTCCCATGTCCTTAAATCCAGCAGGTGAATGGGTTAGTGACCAGCAGGTTGAAGGATGTGACCCTGCCCCTCTACCCTGCTCTTGTGAGACCCCACTTGCAGTACTGTGTGCAGTTCTGGTGTCCTCAACATAAAAAGGACATGGAACTGTTGGAACAAGTCCAGAGAAGGGCCACGAGGATGATCAGGGGACTGGAGCACCTCCCGTGTGAAGACAGGCTGAGGAAGTTGGAGCTGTTCAGCCTGGAGAAGAGAAGGCTGCGTGGAGACCTCATAGCAGCCTTCCAGTATCTGAAGGGGGGCTACAGGGATGCTGGAGAGGGACTCTTCATTAGGGACTGTAGTGACAGGACAAGGGGTAATGGGTTAAAACTTAAACAGGGGAAGTTTAGATTGGATATAAGAAGGAAATTCTTTCCTGTTAGGGTGGTGAGGCACTGGAATGGGTTGCCCAGGGAGGTTGTGAATGCTCCATCCCTGGCAGTGTTCGAGGCCAGGTTGGACAGAGCCTTGAGTGAGATGGTTTAGTGTGAGGTGTCCCAGCCCATGGCAGGGGGGTTGGAACTTGATGATCTTAAGGTCCTTTCCAACCCAAACCATTCTATGATTTTATGATTCTATAATCTGGTACTTGTATCAGCAATTCTAGGGCTCTTCCAATTCACTTTTCTATGTCAAGATTTTACCCGTACCAGCCACTGCTTTGCCAAATTTCCCAAGGAGAACTCAGTAAAATCAGATGATACACTTAGTTCTATCCACACTCTGCTGCTTTTTGAACCAGAACTAATTGTGATTTGTGATCTTCCACTGCTGAGAAAGATAATATGTTTTGCTAGCCCAGTCTCCTGGTTCAGATGCTCCCTAGATGAAAAGGTTTTGGGGATCCAGCTTTGGATCCTGCCTGCTCCCTATCTCTTTGCCCCAGTCAGCAGCAGTCCTTATGGTATTCTTAAAATGATCTGGGTCTCACAGGAAACTAGCATGCATGCTGGGTCAGACTAAAAAGCCATCTTACATTCTTATGACTGTGTACAGAACTGGACATTTTAAAGGAAGAATGTAAGTCTAGGCAGGTATTTACTGATACTCTCCACCCCTTAGTGATTTGCAACTCAGTGAATTCCTGGGGCAGAAGTGATATTTGTGCAAAAAGCCAGTTATGTGCCTCTGGGATAAATAGTAATTTCCAGAAATCACTTTTTCTCCTGCAGCATTCTAGTGATGATCAGTCGCACGAGTCATGAGAGGTGCAGCCCATTCCCTTTTCAGTCCCCTCACAACTAAAGCCAGTACCCAGCGTGCAGATAACTCTGAAATGAAGCTCATGCACCAGATCCAGACTTAGATGGTTGATAAGTATATTGCTATCTTTACATTAGTAATTACATATATGTGTATCTATACCCAAAATGTAGGGATATAAATCACCTCAAATATGAGAGCTGATTTTTGCAGCACTCCTCTTGACAGATTCTGGGCTTGCGCTGCTATCACAGCACTTGCACATTTCTAGGCAGCAGAGTGGTACAGATAAAAAACTTCAAAAGCAGCCACCAGAAGAGGTGAATCCAGTCATTGCTTTCAGATCAGTCAAATTACTCAAAGACACCAGACCTCTCTTGACAGAGGTTGATCTTTTCACTTTCGTGGAGAGGAAAATGAGCTAAAATGAGATTTATTTATTTTTTTCTTCATAACTGACAATTTCTGGAAAGCGATGCAGTCACAAACCTCAGGAGCCAAGTGAGCCAAGTGAGGCTTCAGGAATATGCGGCTTTATTAGAAATCCTTTCACTTCGAGTTTATTCGGGGTATCGAGAATGTCTGTGGAGAAACACGAAGCTGTTAAGCCTGTGCCACGGTCGCTAAAAAAGGCACGGTTCCACTAGGTGGCACAAGTACACCACTTAAAAGCAAGGAGAAGGCGAGGGATGCCCAGCTCCTGCCCAGCATTTTTAGTTCTGCATTTATGCAAAGCAAAGGGGTACAGATATAGATGGCACATACAGCCACAGTCCAGTAACCCACACTTCCCAAATAAAACCAAGTTCAGATTACCAACGTGTTCCTTTGGATTTAGAGGCTCAATGAAAATCTCCCTGAAGAGCAGTATCTTCTGCAGACCTTCACTTACGGCTCACTAACCATGCTGCAACTTGTCACTGTGTTCTCATTCAGGAAAACACTGCTGCCCCTGCTCAGCAGTATTAAAACTGAAGAGATACAGCCACTGACACTCATTTTCCCCATTTTATTCCATTTACCATCACACCATTCTAGTTAGTTTAAGCAGACAGGCTAATTCCTGCACCACCACCTTGAAATGGTAAAGGACAACCCCCCAAAAACCTGGTAGAGCAGCTCTGCTCAGATGATGTTGAGCAAGCAGCACACACAGGCGCTATAGGCAACTATCATGTGATAAGTTCCAAAACTCACCATCTACCCAAGCTCTAATGTAGATAAATCTAAAGTTGAGATAAAACAATGCAAAACAATTATTTTTATACTCATAAAAATGTGTGAGAGGTAACATCCCAGCCTGCCACAAGATAGATTGGGGTGGGTTTTTTTTTGCCTTTGCAGCTAAACCACAGCTGGTAACACTGCAGTGTTCCAGCTATTGCTGAACAGTGCCTGCACAGCACCAAGGCTTTCCCTCTCCCCCCATTTACAGCAGCTTCAGCTCTAGGAATTGATTCTGTTACAGTGTCGTGGTTTAAACCCAGTCAGGCAACTCGTTCACTCACTCCCCCCCTTCTTTCCCTCCCTCTACTCCGAGAGGGACAGAGAGGAGAATCGAAAAGAATGCAACTCCCACGGGCTGAGATAAGAACAGTTTAGTAAACTAAGGTATAACAAAAATCACTGCTGCTACCACCAATAATAACAATGATAAAGGAAATAACAAGGGAAGAGAATACAACACCTCACCACCAGCCGACCGATAACTCACCCCACCCCACCAGACCAAGCACCAACCAATACCTCCTCCAACCCCGCAGTCTCCCAGCCCTTCCGGCTAACTCCCAGTTACATCCTGGGCATGACGTGCTGTGGTATGGAATACCTCTTCGGCTAGCTTGGGTCAGGTGTCCTGTCTCTGCTTCCTCCTGGCTTTCCTTCCTCCCTGGCAGAGCATGAGGCTCACAAAGTCCTTGGCCAAACCAAAACATCATTGTTATCAGCTCTGTTCCCAAGCCGAAAGTCAAAACACTGCACTGCACCAGCTACCAAGAAGGAGAAAAAATGACTGCTACTGCTGAACCCAGGACATGCAGCTACTTCCTTCATGTCCGAGGATGAAATGAAACTGCAACATCTGTATACATGTTTTGTAGAGAAACAGCTCCTTTGCTATTTTTATAATGTTATTTCCCCTTACCCCCAACTGCAGACAACAGAAAACAGACTACTTGAGTATTCTGACTTTTCCCCACAGTTTAGTGTCTGTTCCACTCTGCTTTCAACTCACCCCAGCTGAGGGCTAAAACAGGCTGTGATGCTTCCCTGGGCTTTTGATCTTCCGGAAGGTGAGGACAGCACCTCTTGGGGGGGAGTCCAAGAGAGTCATGCTTATATCCCAACTCACATAAGGCTCGTTTCTTACATGACACATAGGGTCATGTGTGAAAGAGATTCAAATCTTCCACAAATTTGTGCTTGTTTTGTACTTCATGGAATGACATATTCGATTTCAAAGCAAAGTTGTGTAAGTATTACTTGCATTGTAGTTGCTTACGAAAAAGTATATAAATAATAGTAAGAGAAGGTAAAATGACAGCTTTACTATAGTGTGAATATCACTAAGGTTTTAGTTTCAGAAAGCTGCACAGGCTTTGGTCACTGAAGTAATACCAGTTTTATTATACCACCTGTCCTCAAATCCACTACTTCTTCATAATTGATATTCATGTACAAATTACCAGTAACTGAATTAAAACTACAGTTTTAATTGTAATGTCAAAATATACATTTTTATAAGATGAAATACAGTAATTTCAATAAAATGGAGCACGTGTTTTGTTTTTAAAAATTCAGATTCCAGTCGTAAAGAGTTTACATACAAAATAAGATATTTTAAAGTCACGACTGAAGATGCTGAGAGCAGAACATGAGTTCTTTTCTCATTCTTAATGAACTGCTTCATCCTGAATAATTAGCATCAGTGGAAACTGCTGACTTAGTTACAAACAGTATTGATACGTAAGTAACATTTAGAGATGACGCTTTCCCCATTCCTGCAACTGGGATATGAGAGACCTTAAAGGTAAAAAGTGTGAGGTACACCCCTGTCAAATACATGATTCCTTCCAATAGCTCAGAAGCTTGATGAAGTA